GGATCGGCCGACTATATCCTATAGCTGCCATATAACTGAACGATCGGAAATGCCATAACTTTGGTGTTTGTAAAGTTAGGAAGTTGGGATTTTCTATGGGTTTTGTATTTGGCTAATCAATCCGACATGCCGAATTTCATAAGGATCGGCCGACTATATCCTATAGCTTCCATATAACTGATTGATCGGAAATGCCATAACTTTGGTGTTTGTAAAGTTAGAATGTTGGGATTTTCTATGGGTTTTATATTTGGCTAATCAATCCGACATGCCGAATTTCATAAGAATCGGCCGACTATATCCTATAGCTGCCATATAACTGATTGATCGGAAATGCCATAACTTTGGTGTTTGTAAAGTTAGGAAGTTGGGATTTTCTATGGGTGTTATATTTGGCCAGCCAATCCGACCTACCAAATTTCATAAGGATCGGCCGATTATATCCTATAGCTGACATATAACTGAACGATTGGAAATGTCATAACTTCGGTGTTTTTAAAGTTAGGAAGTTGGGATTTTTTATGAGTATTAAGAATGCATCATATGAATAATTTTGGAGAATATAATTTACAGAGTATTCTGCAAGGGTATATCAACTTCGGCTCCGCCCGAAGTTAGCTTTCCTTTCTTGTTAATCATATCATAATGAAAATAACTTTATTACAGATCACGATTGTTATAAAAGATAATAGTGTTTAGCGGGACATTTGTCTTGCAGATGACTATGAATTTTGTAGTTCTTCCAAAACGAATTAATTCGCTGTCTGTTCCATGTACAATTCATTTGAACAGCTTAACAACTAACCCTTTTTATGATAGTTTAAAACATTTCTTCAGTGATCCGAAAAAATGAAAATAATCTTCGATGCTGATGGTGCAACTGATGCAACCTATCCCATTATGATCCCTGCCCTGTGAGGTGAATGAACTGTAAGGAATATGGGAAAATGTCAGGGGCCAGGTAACAAAAAGATCTTCCTCCCCTCGGCAAATTCCCTTGCTAAAAAGGAAAAACGGAGATTTTTTACAGGATTTTGTCCCTTCTTTTGTCAACCTTAAAAAAGGTAAAAAGACGATAGACGATCCTGACAAATGCACGCAAGATGCGCAACTAATTTGAAACTCCGAAGGAGGGACAAATGAATTGGGAGCAGAGCAACCCCTAATTTGCATGGACTCCTCGAAGATCCTAGACAAACCATATATCATCTGCTCCATATAGACTGTCACTCAATCAAGCAATTTTTCTATCTGCCCGAGGCGAGTGCATTAAGTTCAGATTTCTTTTTTCCGATCATTGCACAATCACGCTCCTCATCTAGCCTTTTTGCACAGTGAACCCGAACCCAAATAGCTCTCTTTTTTTTTCTATAGATTTTTTGCTTTTTTAATTGCAAACAAAAGGGAGGGTTAGCAGAAACTGTAAAAAAATGGTTAGGGTTTTTTTTGGGCAAAAATAGAAAATATTTGCACGCATATCCCGACAATTACTTACGGTTTTTTGAACACTTCCCTTGGTTTTTATTTCTTTTCCCAAAAAAAAGGGGGTTGAGTAGTAATAAACGTAGAAGGAGCTGAAACCCCCTTTGGGTGCCACATTTTCTCGATCATTCTGTAACCGCAGAAAGCTAATTTCTGTGCAAACCCGCAGCAAAGTTTTCCTTTTATTGATCTCTAACACCTACACTCCAACCGAAGTCGAAACTGGAGTGGTTTCCCATCAAGTGGCGATCAACTTACAGCGATTCACAAAACCGTAAAACCCAGAGCAGCTGCGCGAAAAAAAATCATTCAACCCGCTGCAGAAAAAAAATCTCGCCGAGGACAAAACAAAAACCAAAGGGGGAAATTCAATGCCGTGAAAAGGGTAGACGGAGAGAGGGTTTTCGATCCGGACTCTAGAGTTCGTTATCCTTGCCCGAAATCGTCGAAGGGGGCACGAAAAAAACACACACAATGCAGCATCGTCGCAATCATCGTCTGACAGCCCATCGCGCAACTGCAGCGTCAGAATAGTTTGGTATAGAGTATGGTGGCTATAGGGTTGCGATTTGGGGTTTACGTTTACGGGAAGTTTCCTCTAACAACTCTGAAAAAACTGCAATGGGTGTTAACGGTCGCTGCGGCTGCGCTGATCCCGATGCCAGCTTGCTCATCATGATCACGGTCATAATGACGACGATGACTTGGCAGAAGATTGATCTCGTTGAAATCAAAATAATGAAATTTACTTCCGCTTTGTTCTCCCTGCCGTGAAATTTAATATGGCCTGTTAATGAAATTTTCACAATTTGTAGACTCGTTTCCGATGGTAATTATTGGTGGGGGAGTTCCCCTTGATTACCAATTCAAGGATGTTTTTTTTGTGTAGTCAAATAGTTGCACAACACAAAATGGGATCTTGTCTGAGTTTCAATTATGTGACTTACTTCCGTTTTGTTTTCGTTAAATGTGGACGTCAATGAAATATATAAATTTTGGTCATTATTTTATGAAGATTTGGTCAATTATAAAAAAGGGGGTTACTAAAATATAGACACGTATGTATCCATGATCGTGCTAAAGAAAAAGCACTGAATTGATTCGAATCGTTTAACTGACTAATGCCATTTTGTTACCAGAAAAGAAAGTAATGTGCAATTTCGCTGTTCTCTTTTCTATTAAAAACTTAGTGCGTCGAATTATCACCTTGTTCAGAAGTTCGGTCTTTTGACCAACTGTTTTAAAGGTTTTTGGTTCTAACTTAGCTAAAATAAGACTGACAGCCAAACGAATGAGCGTTTTGCGTAGCTTAGGCCCTAAAGAATCCATTCCAGGTTAATTTGGAAAATTTTATTTTTTGACATATTTTTTCATTTTTTATAAGGGGTAACATCATGATGTTTTGCGGAAATTCGATAAAAATAAAATTTTTTAGCTGTGAATGCAAATTGATTGGAAATTTAATGACGAATTCAACGAGGTATGACATTCCGTTATTAAACCATTAGTTCTTAGGATTCTAATCAAAAAACCCGTAACTGGTGTACATTTTTCGTGATTTTGGCCATAAAATACATTTTTGAAAGGTTTTTTTGCTCTAACTAAGCCTAAATAAGACGCACAGTCAAAAAAAATGACTGTTTTGTGTAGCTAAGACCCTACTCAATCCATTCCAGGTTGATTTGGAAAATTTTATTTTTTGACTGATTTTGGCATTTTTTATAAGGGGTAACATCATGATTTTTTACGGAATTTGGACAGAAATAAAATTTTTTAGCTGTGAATGCAAAATGATTATAAATTTAATGACGAATTTAACGAGGTATGACATTCCGCAATTAGACCATTATTTCCCAGTGTTTTGATCAAAAAACCGAAACATTTCGTCATTTTTTTTGTACTTTTTGACTAAATCAGATTTTTAAAGGTTTTTTTCTAATTCTTTATTATATGGCAAAAATGTTAGCATTCCGTTGTAACGCCATCTATCTCCAATCGGCAGTACTTACCTGCCTCAACTTATAACCCAAGACACGATCCAATCTTAGGGATACTGTCGACTTTCATGTAAGATGTAGATATGCATGTAGATATTTAATTTTTATTTTGAAGCATAGTATAAGTAAAAATATATGAGTCGGTCGAGGGGATGGGAACGCCTCCCGCCCACTTTTGAGCGGGGCCCAGGATGGTAGAAGTATTAAGCCTGATTGGGATGAATACCTAGTTTTATTAATCCCAATCCCCATAAAGGGATTACTGTCGGGTTGGGGGGGTAAGAAGTGTTTTATTTCCTTAACCGATCTTCGTTGGCCTATGATCATTATTTTTTAAGTCAGTTCTAATGTCTTCTTTTCGCCAGACTTTCTAGTTCCTCAAAGTGGTGTTGTCCAAAAAGAATAGCTGGCATCCATGAGCAACTCTCGGCATTCCACCGTATCTTTTCGAAGCTTCCGTCCTTATATTCCTTTTTTAACCCCTTAAATTTTGTTGAAATTTGGATGACAGTAAATTTTGTCAATCCCTCAATAAAGTTAAGGTAAACTGAGTTCCGCGAATATCAAACTTTACCTTTGGATTTAATTATTTTGAATTTGGACCCTAAGTCAAACAAAATGAGATAAAGTGTTTATCGAGATGATTCTCCGCGAAAAACTTTCATCATCTGGCGGCAAGTGTCAACAAGTCGTAAAGCAGTAAAATCTTTTCGCCATTCCCCATCATAAACGACTAACGACAAACGCCGTAGGTGACGTCACATTTCGCTTTTCATGAATGGACTTTCATCAGCAATGGGAAATGGGGAAAACTACTATACTGCACGCCATTCCACTGGTTTAAGGTCATCGTAAGAGTTGTAAGAGGGAAGGTCATGACTGGTTGCAGGCAACCCCAACAACATGAATGACCACATTCCCACCAGCTCTACAGTGAGACTTCATTATGACATTATGACTTTGTAAACTATTTTGCTTGGCAATATATTAAAATTATGCCAGCAAGGAACGCATCTTTGTAGTTCCATCACACAATCTTTGTTATCTTGCGGTAATAAGGATATTGATTGAAATATTTTATACCGTTAAAACCTATAATTCTTAAAAATGTCTGATGGTATGCAATAATGCATTTACAATAACTAAATATATATCTTCATATACTAGTAGTAGTTACTGTAGTTAATTCAAAGCCAAACCTCATAAAATAATAACTGAAACAATTGTTTCAGCAATATAACCGCCTTTATTAGCTTATTAAACAAACTGAAAATCTTTCATGAATTTGGAATCAAATTATTTAAACTGATAATTAGGTGATAACTGCGGGGCTCCACTGTACCCAATCCGTTCTCTCTCGATGAGTAACCGTTAGTATCTGCCCGCTCGCCACAGCACTCTATCTCTCTCACTCGGCCCACAGACAACTTATCAGATATTTTCTTTTGTCCAGGGCTTAATAGAGAGAGAGAGGAGAACGCGAAAGAAAATCGTTTCGGTTTTGGTAGCATTCGCAAATTAGTCGTCGAACGCTAAGCAACATATTCATAAAAAGTTGTCTAGCCATCAAATAAATAGATGTTTGTCGTCGCGGTGGTGGCAATTATGAAATAATCGCTTTGCGGGTGTGCTAAAAAGAAACAGCGCGTTCAATTCTTCAGATATCCCAATACTATATAATATAGATCAACCATGGCGACCGAAACAACGAAAATGGTAAGTTTGATTTTCAGTTCATGGTAATTACTTGTGATTAGAGAGGTGATTAGCATTTCCTGCTGGGACTTTGGGAACGTGGCAACCTTTTCACTTATTCGGTTAATTGTTTTTCGTTGACCTTGAACCTGGCCTTAATGCCCGGCAAGCCCCTAGGACTTACTTAACGGCTTTCCGTAACAAACTTTAACGATCCGATAGAAACCTGGTTTGAATTCAAGCAGCGCGTGGCACTTCAGTTAAGTAAGAGCGTGTTATGTAAACAAAATGTTAAATCGAGCAGCCTGTTTTATTTTATAGATGTTAAAATGATTATTAGATCAGTTTTCTGATCGTGTTTGTTGGAACTGAGTCATTGCTTTGGTTAATCTGAAATTTAAAAATATTTTCCACTCCAAAGATAATACTTACATATATGCACTTCCAATCATTTTGCTCTCTTGTTCAGCAGCCCGATTGAGTGCTCAATCTATCAAGTGTCGTCATACTGTTTACACACCCACTTAACAACCCATGACCAGTTTTCATTATTTTGCGCCATGATTATCTATAGGGTTCTTATACTGTTATCTAACTTAAGAAGCGTATTTTTGTGGAAAATCTTCGGAAATGACGTATGTAGATCATTTCCCTCTTTTTCTTCTGACATTATCTCACTCGTGTCTGGGCAACCACCTGACCGAAAAACTAAATGACGACACCAAACGATAACAATATGTACGAAATTATTCAGATTCAGCAAAATAATTACCGTGCCTCAGGTTTCTCAAGGCAATTAATTGAAAGGCTTAAAAAGCTTAAATATTTTTTGCGAACCCGCCCGAGAACCCATTTTTATTAAAGAGCAAATTTAAACACGTGCGATAACGTTAAGACTGGGATTTCCAGAAGCGCGAGGATTGTAAACAGACTTTATGGAACTTGAAAATTTCAGTTAAATATTGAGACAAAAGCGGGTTAATGTCTTTATGTAGGTGAATTCTTGTGATAGGTAGATTCTGTAATATATATGTAGGTGTAATATATAGGTGACTAAGATCATTTGTTTGCCCTACAAATTAATTTGTATGCTCTTCCATTTACTTTATCTCGCTTTCTGTACCTCTATCTCATATTATATGTAAACAACGTTTTATTGTACTGCAGTAAATCAAATTAATGAACCTCTTTTCGGTAATGAATGAACATAAAAAAGATAGCGCTGATAAATCTATTATATGTTTGTGAAACAATTGTATACTAACTGTCAACCCATTTGTCCTCCCTAGAGGGTCCAAAGTACTATTGACTACTATGTATTCGGAGTTCAAAATCCAAAACAAAGACAGATGTATGCACTAGAATTCAGAGTACATTAGACATATTTTTAGAAACCTCAAGCACTTTGGCTATCGGGCATTTGTTTATTCGCATTTTGGCTTATAATCTCCATGTTACCTTGAAGAAAATTCTTTTTTTGTGGGCCCCGCCCCCACACGTGACATGGAATGACGCAAAAGGAAAAACAATTGCCGACGTATATCTGAAAAATTTGTTTCAAAAATACTGTATGCCTTTGATACGCGCGAAATTTGGCTGAACTTTGGATTGGAATAAATTTGCGTCGTTACCTAATGTGACAAATAAAAATGAATTTTATCATCTCAATTCTTCATGAAAATTGTCTCATATATTGTCTTTATTCATTTGATTATGCTACAAATTGATTAAATGTGGGTCAACGCAATCTGAGCCTTGATTTTCGGTTTGTTTTGTTTTGGCAATAAAAAACAAGTTCAAAAATCTCGAAACAAAATGTATTGACCGAAGTTAAACTGGTTTCGCTTTAAACACAGGGGGTTTCCTAAGAGAGAGCCCGTCTACAGATCTGTTTAAACTTCAACTTAAACTTGCACGTTTCATGTATAAATGGTCAAGCAATTAATGACCCAATATGGAGAAGTGCGCCCAGACTAAAAGAAATGAAATTGGTTTGGAAACAGCTTTAATTCCAGAATACCTTACGTTGTTCTTTAATTATCGTAGAGGTAAGGAATTTTAATAGCTAACCAGGTAACTTACTCCGCTCTTTTGTAAGCTAATTACCGATAAGCTAATAAAATTAATTAGCAACTGTTTAAACATTTGGAAGTTTAGGGTATGTAATAACATTTTTAATAATGTTAGTCATTAAAGGAAACTAAGCTAATTTGGAGTTCACTTTATAGAACACATTTAACAAATTTTTTTAGTGGGTACATACATGAATATTCCCTTTAAATTAAACTTCATTACGATTAATTAATTCCACAACATTTCATTATCGCCTTCCGTCTGTGTTCAATTTAATTACATTTCATATCATTGAATGCAACAAAATGATCTCACTTGAGGCATTTGCTATGAAAAAACTCCCCACATACGTATATGCATATAAATTTATGATTCATATTAATATATAGAGACATTTTCTTGTTTAAACAGCAAGATCAAAGAAAATTATCTGTCTCGATTGCTTTTGATACAAATATCTCTTTGCCTGTCAAAATTAAATAAGTAAGAGTGGTTTTGTCAGACTCTCAAGTCTTCTATACTCAATATATAGTGTAATATTACTAACCAAATCGTCCTTGTTCCCAATTGGGTCGAACTAATCAAAAATTTATGATCATTTAGTATTCGACTTTGAAATTTGTTCGCGTATTGATTTTTTTGAGTTGCCGTTGTTTGGTTTCGTGTTGGACAGTAGACAGCGAAAAATATAGCCAAAAACGCTTTATTGTCCTTATACATATTCCCACATCAATTGTGTCTCATAAATCTTCAGAATTTATTTAAAATCATCTTTTGTGTGTACCACTGAAATCTCCAGTGTTTTAAAATTACTTCTTAATGCGCATTTTCTAGGATTTTTTCATTGCTAAAATTGAAAAAATTGATAATTAAACGATGTTGCTAGATCTTTTTCGTAGTGTATCACATGACAACACGAATTAAAATTTAAAGTTCCTGAATAGCTAAATAATTTCACCACCTTCGATGATTCAGGAAACTTAAAGTATCTTTATAAAGTGTGCCATACTATCTTGCCCGGTCACACTTATTTTTTATCAGCTTATGAAAAACCCCAAGAGGTTGAACATGCCAAATGCAGATGATAGAACATTTTCATAAGGCATGAACAGGAAAGCATTGAACCATTCCAGCAAATGATGACGGTGGCAACCACTTGTCACATTCATATCTTTTGTACTTGATGTAAACGAACTGAATTTTTAAGTACAAACAAGTTTCAGGTTGAGATTGAGTTAAGTGTTTCCAGTGGATTCTGAACCTGTTGCCGACTTTCACCCAGTGACTTGATGTCCCTCCCCATTGAGAAAGTTGCACTGCAATTAACCAGATAACATGGGCCATAAATTAATAATATCCCAATTGGTTGCATCAATTTGAAATACTTTTTAATCTGAGATACGTTGGGTTATACATCTTAAAAAATCGTATTTTATTTTTAGTTGTTAACTGATACATATTATCACAAAATACAAAAATTAATTGTATTTTATAATTTATAAAGTATAAAACGTAATCTATTCCTAAATTTAATTAATATGGGAATAATTGGAGATACATTTTACAAATATCTTTCTCTAGTAACTTATTGGAATACTTAGTGCTCATATTTATGGCACTTATGGAAACATCATGACCTGCAACAGGTGTGCCGTTATTATAGTAAGGTGTCGCCAGGGTAATTAGCAGGCTTGTAAGGCAGGTTGTCAAGTCGGGTCTGGATTTGCTAGCAGTTCCCGTTTGTACGGTCTAATGCTCGTTGTTTCTATTTTTGTTTTTGTTTCTGGTAACTGCTCGCATTTGTTTTCTTGGGTTGCACATGGTGACGGGTTTCTCCTCCTCCATTTGTCTCTCCACTCTCTTCGCACTGACTGTGTGTCTGCTATCACGTCTTAAGGCATTTCTGTTCGGATTCCCCTGGTTTTTTTTCCTGTTGCTTCTCGTCTAATACAGTTTTTGTTTTGAGATCTTCTTCGCCAGTCTGGATTCTGATTCTGCCTGGGTTGTTAGGGATGAACTCGTGAAAAATAACTGGCAGGATTTGTTGGTGGAATACAAAATATAGTAACAGAAACAATAATCAAATACCCGATATCTTTAAAACATTTTTTGTGTATTTTGTTAGCATTTTTTAAAGCTTAAAATCGAAGATATTTTTTTAAAGAAGAGACCTTGAACCAAAACTTGCATTTTTTTATTTAAAAGATATAACGGAATTTAAAACTTTTTAAAAACACTATTTGACAGCGGACGCCCTGCTATAAATAAAGTTCTTATTTTAGGAGATGTTAAAAAACAACAAAAAAAGGAATTGTGCATTTTTTTCCAGAAATCCTTCTTGTTGCCAACATCGACCTAATTATTCTTAAGATAAGCTGTAATTGCAGGACAAAATTTTAATCTATACTCCTTCCCCTCAATGCCTATTTACAGATTTAATCAGTAAGTTATTCAAAAACGCCTCCATTTAGCTAAACGTAGAACCTGAAAACTTTTTTTCTGTGTGTATTAAAGTCTTCCTTAAAATGAGCTTAGAGTCACGCTGTCAGCACTAGCCGACCGAAAACGTTCGAGACTCTTCTTCTTCTCACCCGCTCTCGCGCGCTCCCACACACACTGAAGCAAAAGACCCTACATTCACGACGCAGCACAACAAGTAAATTCAGTCGCGCATTTCACCGATTTCGAATCGGACGTGTTTGCTCTCCTGCTTCTCTCGAGCGCCAAGTCCCGATAAGGACATAAAACCCGAAGGAGAGCCAAAGGCTCCTGCCGCCAGTTTCAAAAAGTAAATAGTGTAATTGTTAAGAGCATCGAACCGGGATAAACCGAATTTCCAGTAGAACCCATCAGAACGGACACCGAACAATCGCCATGTGCGTGGTCCTCTCTCTTTCTCTAAGCGATAAAAATACCGCGTTGCTTTTTGTGTTTATTTTAAAATTTTG